CCTGCTAGTAAAGTTGCATTGTAAACACGCGTACTTGTATGTTGTAACGTTATTATTAGGCCTATACATACAATTGTTAACAACCGGTTCATGGAGGTCATTAAATTCTAAGAACAGGTTTGCACGAACTGGTGCGAACCGGCTGAATCCCACCACTGGATACATCTCATGCTCATAATACCAGGTGGTAAGTACGTGGACTCCAGAAGGGGTGGGAAAACCTTCTGTAACAATCACTCATAGTATATATTATGGACTTTTGTGTGATTGGTGCCCCATTCAATGCTTCATTATGATTGGACGAAAAGAAAAATAAAAAGGCAATGATTGGAAAACATTTGGGGACTTGTCCACTCCTTTTCTTCTCCTGCTACATTATCATGGAATAATAATTGTTCTAGTTCTGTCTATTCATCTGTGAGGCACTAAAGAAAAACAGCTGCAACAATTACAAATGCATTGTATCATTATTCTCATTATCTATGCTAGTAATATGGCTTCAGCTGCATCTTCTTCCACTTCTTTTCCATTTCTTCATCCACTTCGTTCTTTTGCCTGACGAGCAGGCACAGACAACAAAAGAGGGTGAAATGAGACAAGTGAGAGAGGCACACAGCAAGAATAGCAGGAGTATGATGATACACATGCAAGGGTAAATGAGACAGACACCACAGGAAGAACAAAAGAGAGACACAGGTATGATCACAACAGATAAAGATGCAAAATTATGGCAGTTTTCATCACCTAATGAGTGATGTGGACAAAGCTTTATTATATAATAACATTCTCCTCAGGACCAACTTTACCATCCACTGTGTCCTGATTAGCAATATGCTTGAACTGAGTAATTTTTTATTTGATTTGCTGATCAGACAGAAAGCCCTCATTTCCAATCTCATTTCTAAACTTATCCTTAAAAACCTCCAGTCCTGCAACCAGTTTCCTGGTTTTATTGTAGGTGTAGACGGCACAAACTCCACCAAGACAGACTGCTGAAGTGTGGTGAATATGCAACTCCTTGACCTCACAACTGTCTTGAATAGTTTCCTCAAATGAGTCATCTCTGCTCTGATTTCACTCTTAGCTGAAAGAACATATCTCCCTGAATATTTCCAGATATTCTAGCATCCTTCCTGGGCCTTTCTTGCAAGAGGAATCTATCTCACCAAGCTCAAATAGCTCTTTGATATTCTCTCGGATTTGTGGATGGTTTTCCTGCCATACATTTGGCCTATGCATGGTCGAATTGCCCACCAACATGGTATAGAAAAAGCAAGCTTGTAGCCATTTTGGACAGAGCTGTTCATGTTCTCTTCACCATTCCTGACCTCAAAAATGCCCATTTCCCCAGACTGCCCCCAAAATAGCATAGGATCGGAAGTCACGTGATTCAACTTCATTCTTATCATCAGCATCACACACATTACATTGTGCTTTCCACCTATGCTGTCTCTACCTCAGCTGTGCCCATGTAAGGATGCTTACACCAGTCATTAGTCCAAACCTAAGATTAGACCTGACCTGAGCTCTGTCACAACCACTTTCATCATCTGCTGACTTTTGATCTTCTGTGTCTCTGTCACTGCTCAGTGACACATCAGACTTATCTTCATATGCACTTTAACATTCATTGACTTCCTTCTCATCTTCTCACTGTTACTCTCCCTGGGGTGCTCCAGACTTCACGATGCATTGATTAGTTCCCAGACTGATGTCCACATGAATCTTAGGTCCAATGCTCAAGTAAGCTCTTAAGAAGTAAAGAATTTGTAGGACTTTTACTATCTTGGAAAGTGGGTAAAAGTGGGATGTTTTGTTGGGTTGAACGTCATGGATAGTCGCAGATATTCAAATGTAAAACAGCATGGACTGTGAATATTGAGAAGTGGATATGCTCATTCAATTTCATAGATTGAGAAAAATCATTTGGTGTATTCAGAATAAACGTATTTTTAATTCCAGAAAGGGTTTTTCTGGAATACTTCCCTAAAGAATGTCTGGTTGATTCATGCAACGGGACACAACCGAATATGAATAATCATCAGAAAAATGAGGTACTCAACTTTAAGGCTATATAGTCTAATTTAAAACAAAAAATTTAAAAATTAAAAAAAACATTCTAAGTTATTCTAAAGAATTATTCTATTCATAAAAAACATTATTTGACCACAAAATGTTATTTTAACTTGTTCAAGCACTTTAACGATACCCAAATGTAGCTTAGGCTTGCTCCTGTTTCCTGCAGTTATCATAACTGAATGTAGTCTATTGCAGTCCCAGTGTTGAAGTTATTTTTACTTAAAAGTGAAAATTCATTTTCTTTTACTGCAAAAAATTACAAATAAACCTGAAAGAATACAAGTTTGCCCTATAAGCAGTATAAAGTTAATATTTAGATATTAACACTTCACAGGCGTATTACAGTTTATCTTAAATACATTTTGATTTGAAGAAAGAATGAAAAATATACTTACAGCAAACCTTGCCAGAATGTTAGCACCAGCACCAACACCTAAGCCTACAAAATGCTTCAGGCTAGGAATAAAATTTTTTTTTATTTTCATGAAACATTTGTTGATTTAAAAGCACTTAAAAGATATATCATGTCAATCTTAAATGTGAATTAGAAAGGCTTGAAACATAATGTTGTAGAAAATAATAATTTTCTCTCCTGCTACCAAAGTACAGTTAAAATAACTGAAAAATATGTTATGAGAAAATGTTCTTCTACAAGGATACATTGTTAATATACAAATAAATGCCAGTCAACAAATAATAATCTTAAGTTCAATGTAGAAAATTTGCTTCGAGCAATAAAATCAAAATGATTTAAACCAAAGAGAATCTAAAAAAATAAGCAGTATGGTACAAGATACCCAGTGAAAATAATAAAATATATGCTTGATGAAAGAGAAGGATTCGTAAAAGAACCCACCCTGTAAAATACAAATTAACTGTTTAATCTGTGTTCCCCAGCTTCACATTTGGAACAAACTCTATATTAAAATTATGAACAATTGGGATGGACCAGCAAACTTTCAAAATAGTGGTAATAAGGTAAATGCTTCTAATGGAATTATCAAACATGTAATTATCAAACAAAGTCTGCTGTTTTGCAAGTAATTATTTTCTCAAAGATGGAAAAGGTTATCATTTTCAATTTCAATGAAAATTGATAAACTTGCAAACTACTGATAGTTCTATTCTTATGTAACCTAAAGTGCTTCAGAAATAACATTTTCAGGATATTTCAACTACAGTTTTATTAAAAAGCCCCCTGTTAAACATCATAACTACTCAATTTAGGAATTAAATATATATATTGAGTGATGACAACTTACTTATAAAACTTAACAGCACATAAAATCATCTCTGCTAGTTGGTCCATTGTTGGATAGACGTGCCTGAAAAATATGTAAACTTATGATGAATATGATGATTTCTTGGCATTAAAAATATCAAGTTAGTATTTTTCATCGAAATACAGTTCAGTTTGTATAAAACACACACACAAACACATAAGTACTGACATAATGAATATTATATGATATGTTGTCATTAAATTAACAAGATATCTAAACAGATCTGGACCTTGTTGCTTTGCTTTAGCACAAAGCCACACAAGTGGCTTTGTGTTCATCCACTGCAAGGAATTTAATCCTGTATTTTAGCACTGTAAGCCTGTAAACTTACTGCTAACTCTCCGGGTAACAAAAGATCTGGAACTGCGAAAAACTGCTAATTACACTTTTTTTTTAAATTGAAATTCAAAATGTCCAAAAGTTCAAAACTACAGTTGTACATAGACCTAATGATCTTAAAACAACATTTATAGAAATAAAAGACCTGTAATAGTGGATATTCAACAAGAACTAGCCAATTGACAGTTACACATGCCACAAGTCTGAAACTTTTTAAAGTACATGTTTTTCAACAAATAAAATGACACATTTTCAGCATATAATATAAGATTCATAGCCTATAATGGCTTAAAATATAAAATATTATTTCTTTCAGAAAAGTTAGGATCTCACATCTTCCTTCATTTGAATGAATAGCGATACTGCATTATTGTTACAACCTATATACATATTATATGTAGAAAACATAATTATGACTGCTGCTTATAAAATATTTGTTGGACTTGTGGTAAATGATGAAAAGGGCCTTAACCCTTTCGTGACAGGCTCAGTATAAAATACACGAGTTCATATACACATTTGCACATGTTAAGTATTTATACTATAACTTTTAATGCAGTATGTGTATCTTCACAAAATCTGGTAAACTTTTAGTAAACATTACAAGTCTTTTGTACATTAAACATCAGACTTTTTAATGAAGTATTTTTACTAAAGATTTGTTTGTGAATATATTGAGTCTGTTTCGTTACTAGTCCAAGTGCAAAGTAATTTTCATGTTATGATTAAAAAAACTATTCTTCATCCCCAAAATCTCAAATATTATTTGTGTATCTTTAAAACCTCATAAATACATTTCAAACATTTATTTTCAGCAAAACTATATATTTTATCTGTCATTTTCTCTACCCTAACTCTATACAGGGTCGGTCAAATTAACCAACCTCATAACCATAAAAAAAAATTGAAGTAAATCTACATTACAGTTTTTTCTTTCAACTTGTAACATGAAACTACATTTGTTTATCCTAAGTAAACTAGTACCAGTACACATCTATTTATACTAAATTTTATTGTTTTATTGCTTTTTGATTGCCCTTTGAACAACTAATTACTACTATTCATGCCATTATAAGTTGTAAATCTCTTAGGGAACATTGAGCTCATGTTATGTTATCAAATTACATTACCCACAAGCTACTCTGAGTCTGAATTGCTTGCATGCTTGCCTCATCAAATAGTTGTATTATATTATTGTTATTTATTTTACCTAATCTAACCTTAACTAATCTAAAAGAGACCCTTAATTTTACATTTTAGTTACTTTTATAATAATAAATAAAGAATAAACTGGAAAAACAAGAAATAAAGTACTTACCCAGGTCTTCTTTTTTTACTGTCAACTGTTTCAATGACACTTAACCCTACTTCTTTTTTTTTATATTAATGGTAGCAATGCACTAAATTATATTTATTTAATTAAATAATGCACCAAAGTACAAAGAATAATAAAAATGCAAAAAGCAGACAATTTCTCCTAACTATCACAATTTTTCTGGCTTTCTAACTATGTGACAAAAACCATTACAAATTCATCCAAGCTAGTCATTATCTTTCCCATGGGAACGAAGGTTGTACTACTGAGAAATTGACAATTCTCTGTTCAGAAAACAATGTAATATATTACGTCATTTGATAGATGAAAACCTTGGCTTTCTGTTGGTTATACATAGTACAGAATTAAATGTAAGAGAGAACTATTAACAAATCCTGAAAGAGAGGATGTGACAGATGGGTGTTGCAAGAGGGATCTGATTTTCTATTTGATGGCTCTATAACCAAACTAAATTGAAGGCTATAAAAATTATGGTTTGTCACAGCAATCACAATTTTATACTGAGTAATTTAAGTTAAGTTTCATACTTATTGGAGGGGTGGTGAATAAAACAGAGAAGAGAGGATGCTTAGTGAAAATATGTCCCATTTTTCACAGTATGGGAAATTTAGGATTTTTTTTTAAATATTGCCTTATAAAATTAAGAACTTAAAACTTATATACTATTAAAATATTGATTATTATGATTATTAGCTACAATTTTTATGCTATACTAATTGGTATAAAATAAACAAGAAGTAGTTTAATTAAGTTTTGAAAATAACTCACTAAAAGACCATGACATGCACAGTTAGACCCACCCATCACAAAAGGGTTAATAGCAAATGTTAGAGAGTTAATTCTTTAGATCAGTTGATAGAGCTTGCTATACAAGAAGTCCACAGTTTAAACCCACTTGCAGGAAATGAAAGAATAGGATTATTCTGAAAAAGCTAGTGCCCACCTAGTGGTCATCCCAAGACTACGAGTTAAGGGCCCAAAGAAGATCTTGTTTGTAAAAAGTGAAGAATGTGATAATTGTTTATTCAGTTTGTAGAGCACTCACTTGTAGTGCAGGTGGCCCTAGGGTTCAGTTCCTGCTTAAGGGAATTGAAAAAAAAAAACTAGATAATTATAAGCTTATTTTAATCACATAATATGCTTCACAACTGTTGAAATATTTTTGTTTGTTAATTAGTATCATAAAAAGTATTCTTCAAAAACACCTCACAGATAAATCTTGCACCTCATTTACCACATACTATGCAAGTAATAATTGGATGATAAAGATATTGTGAAGAATTATGAAATGTCAACATTTACAATGTTAATTAACTTAAATATATGAAAGTCTAAGGTTTCTACTTTTTTTTTTTCATAAAACTTTCTTTATACATTTCATACATCATTATTCTAAATACAATTGTTTAGCACTAGGTTGCATGTGAAAAAGTATGCAGGTATAATAATCATCTTTCTTTAAATTATGGTGCCAGTGTGTTTTATATTATGATCTTAAAGCATGTGAATTCTTAAGCATTTATATAAAGGTGTTTTGCAGCATGTGTAGGTAAATTTGACAGAAAACAGAATTTCCAACACTGGAGTTGTGGGAAAGTAACTTCTACAGGAAAGCCAGCAATTGAAATTAACTTTCCCTAACAAAATCTTAGTTCCAAAAAATGGATTCAACTCTGTTAGAGACATGTCAATTTATGTTTCAGAACTCAAATATTACTGTAAAGTATGACATTTGTTCAATTTTTTTAAATTGATTGTTAGATACACATGAGTGTTTAATATGAGTGTTATGATTTAGATAGTTTAAGCAGGGCTAAGAATTAGCTGGGGCCCAGGAGCCAATGCCCCCCCCCAAAAAAAATGCCTTCAGGCCTATAAAATGTGTCTGCTAGGTACCCCACATGGCCCTTTAAAATAAAAAAGCCATTAAAAGTTTGACTCCACATAAACTGATCTAAGTATTTCTTAACCAAGCAGAACTTATGATAAACCATGAATATATCTTCCCAAATTTACAAACACTCATCAGTCTTGTACAATCCACAAACATTGTCACTATGAATGCCTATGTATTCAAAGTAAATGCACTTTCATTAAAAAGAATGCCATCATTTTGTCCAATATTCGAACGTTTTGTATCAGTGTAATAGAATTTATATATAAAATTCCATTTAAAAAATTTGAAATATATAGTGATTATTTGAACTTTTATTAAAATGACTACTGTTTTTAACCACTACTTTTAACTTTCTATATATGACACCAAGCCAGCATGAAGACCCAAACATTTGAAAGATGTACATTACAAGTTCTTTTTTGTCAACACTTTCCCCAAACAGGAAAGTAAAAATTTTAAACTTGTAATGACTAAAGAAAATGTATTTTGAAGCTTCATTAAATTTGAAATGGTTGAAACTATCAATAAATGTGCCATGAAAAAAATCATGATTTCTTTTCCTTTTATATTTGAAAAATAAAAAATGGGGCCTGACCTTGTGACTACTACACGATCGACACAATGTTATGTGATCATTGTGAGAGACAAACAAATTTTTGAAGTTCATTGCCTAAATTCATCATTCACTTCAGCCATAAGTTTGAAGTCTTTGCTATCACTCTACACATGTTGAAGTAAACCACTTTCTAAAGAAACTAATAAATAAAGTGATAGCATATGAAAGTTTTCGTTCATAAAGAGAGGAATATTCGACTCAGTTGCCGAAAGATTTCCTCTTAAATTGGCCTTATTAAAAAATACTAATTATATCTTTATTGCATATGTAATGATCAACTTTCCAACCTTAAAAAAAAAGAAAAAAGAAATGACAACTTTAAATGCATTATGATAAAGAAGACCTACATTGTGCTGGTTGAATTATTTAAAATTTTTCACCCCTCAGCTTGTCACACATGCTTTTATTGAATGCATTTCAAATCTCAGCACTTATACTTTGTCAATTTTGACATTTGTCTAAAATCACAAAATATTAGCTTTTACTGTTGATAAAGATCTATACACTTCCCTGTTAGTTAAAGGTACAATGGACAGTCGTTTAAGACAACTGATAGTGACATCTTAGACAGTGACATGCACAATTCAAACAACTGACAAAACTCCCATACTGGAAAGTAATGGGACATTCCAAATTTCCAATTGCTCTTTGTCATGCACTCTTTAGCAACCTCCTCAAACAATGAGCTAATACACAGTGCAGTACTCATGGGGAGCTACATGGTGTATCATCCTAAGAACTTCATTGGAAAAGTCCACATTGATCTCCAGCAAGCACACAGTGTGTATTAACTCTGTGCATAGGGTGCTGTAATTGTAATAATAATGCAATTCTTATGATGGTCACTCTGATAA